TAAAGTTATCTGTGGGACTTTTATTTTGAAAATAAGCTTAAACCTGAGATATCTCAAAGTATAAAGTTACTCTGTGGACTTTTATTTTGAAAAATAAGCTTAAACCTGAGCTTCCTCAAAGTATAAAGTTACTCTATGGGGATTTTATTTGAAAAATAAGCTTAACCTGAGCTTCCTCAAAGTATAGAGTTACTCTATGGGGCTTTATTTGAAAAATAAGCTTAACCTGAGCTTCCTCAAAGTATAGAGTTACTCTATGGGGCTTTTATTTTGAAAAATAACTTAACCTGAGCTTCCTCAAAGTATAAAGTTACTCTATGGGGCTTTTATTTTGAAAAATAAGCTTAACCTGAGCTTCCTCAAAGTATAAAGTTACTCTGTGGGACTTTTATTTTGAAAAATAAGCTTAACCTGAGCTTCCACAAAGTATAAAGTTACTCTGTGTGACTTTTATTTTGAAAAATAAGGTTAACCTGAGCTTCCTCAAAGTATAAAGTTACTCTGTGTGACTTTTATTTTGAAAAATAAGCTTAAACCTGAGATATCTCAAAGTATAAAGTTACTCTGTGAGACTTTTATTTTGAAAAATAAGCTTAAACCTGAGCTTCCTCAAAGTATAAAGTTACTCTATGGGGCTTTTATTTTGAAAAAATAAGCTTAACCTGAGCTTCCTCAAAGTATAGAGTTACTCTATGGGGCTTTTATTTTGAAAAATAAGCTTAAACCTGAGCTTCCTCAAAGTATAGAGTTACTCTATGGGGCTTTTATTTTGAAAAATAAGCTTAACCTGAGCTTCCTCAAAGTATAAAGTTACTCTATGGGGCTTTTATTTTGAAAAATAAGCTTAACCTGAGCTTCCTCAAAGTATATAAAGTTACTCTATGGGCTTTTTTTGAAAAATAAGCTTAACCTGAGCTTCCTCAAAGTATAAAGTTACTCTGTGGGACTTTTATTTTGAAAAATAAGCTTAACCTGAGCTTCCACAAAGTTAAAGTTACTCTGTGGGACTTTTATTTTGAAAAATAAGAACCTGAGCTTCCTCAAAGTATAAAGTTACTCTGTGTGACTTTTATTTTGAAAAATAAGCTTAACCTGAGCTTCCTCAAAGTATAAAGTTACTCTGTGGGACTTTTATTTAGAAAAATAAGCTTAAACCTGAGCTTCCTCAAAGTATAAAGTTACTCTGTGGGGCTTTTATTTTGAAAAATAAGCTTAACCTGAGCTTCCTCAAAGTATAAAGTTACTCTGTGGGACTTTATTTTGAAAAATAAGCTTAAACCTGAGATATCTCAAAGTATAAAGTTACTCTGTGAGACTTTTATTTTGAAAAATAAGCTTAAACCTGAGCTTCCTCAAAGTATAAAGTTACTCTATGGGATTTTATTTTGAAAAATAAGCTTAACCTGAGCTTCCTCAAAGTATAGAGTTACTCTATGGGGCTTTTATTTTGAAAAATAGCTTAAACCTGAGCTTCCTCAAAGTATAGAGTTACTCTATGGGGCTTTTATTTTGAAAAATAAACTTAACCTGAGCTTCCTCAAAGTATAAAGTTACTCTATGGGGCTTTTATTTTGAAAAATAAGCTTAACCTGAGCTTCCTCAAAGTATAAAGTTACTCTGTGGGACTTTTATTTTGAAAAATAAGCTTAACCTGAGCTTCCACAAAGTATAAAGTTACTCTGTGTGATTATTTTGAAAAATAAGGTTAACCTGAGCTTCCTCAAAGTATAAAGTTACTCTGTGTGACTTTTATTTTGAAAAATAAGCTTAAACCTGAGATATCTCAAAGTATAAAGTTACTCTGTGAGACTTTTATTTTGAAAAATAAGCTTAAACCTGAGCTTCCTCAAAGTATAAAGTTACTCTATGGGGCTTTTATTTTGAAAAATAAGCTTAACCTGAGCTTCCTCAAAGTATAGAGTTACTCTATGGGGCTTTTATTTTGAAAAATAAGCTTAAACCTGAGCTTCCTCAAAGTATAGAGTTACTCTATGGGGCTTTTATTTGAAAAATAAGCTTAACCTGAGCTTCCTCAAAGTATAAAGTTACTCTATGGGGCTTTTATTTTGAAAAATAAGCTTAACCTGAGCTTCCTCAAAGTATAAAGTTACTCTATGGGGCTTTTATTTGAAAAATAAGCTTAACCTGAGCTTCCTCAAAGTATAAAGTTACTCTGTGGGACTTTTATTTTGAAAAATAAGCTTAACCTGAGCTTCCACAAGTATAAGTTACTCTGTGGGACTTTTATTTTGAAAAATAAGCTTAACCTGAGCTTCCTCAAAGTATAAAGTTACTCTGGTGACTTTTATTTTGAAAAATAAGCTTAACCTGAGCTTCCTCAAAGTATAAAGTTACTCTGTGGACTTTTATTTTGAAAAATAAGCTTAACCTGAGCTTCCTCAAAGTATAAAGTTACTCTGTGTGACTTTTATTTTGAAAAATAAGCTTAAACCTGAGATATCTCAAAGTATAAAGTTACTCTGTGGGACTTTTATTTTGAAAAATAAGCTTAAACCTGAGCTTCGTCAAAGTATAAAGTTACTCTAGTCTAGGGGACTTTTATATGAAAAAAAAATATGACTTCTCCTGATCTTCCAGCAAGGATACCATACAACCATGGGGGTATTATTTTGAAAAACAAGCCTCTTCCTAAGCTTCCTGTAAGGATACCGTAATCTATGGGGCTTTGTTTTGAAAAGCACTCCTTTTTCTGAGCTTCCTGTAAAAACACACAGCCATCTATTGGGATTTTTATTTTGAAAACATGCATCTTGCTGAGTCTTGAAGGATATAGTAACTTTATGTGGCTTTTATTTTGAAAAACATGTCTCTTTCTGAGCTTCGCGAAGAGATGGTAACTCTATGGGGCTTTTACTCTGAAAAACACGTCACTTTTGGTTAAAAAATCCCTTTTAAACTTCCTGTAGGAATACAGTAACTTAGTTTTTGCTTTCCAGAGCTTTCTATAAGGAAACAGGACCTTTATTTGAAGGTGTGATAGGAAAGGGCACTGCTGACTCTACAGAATAATAGACTGTGTCGTTCTGCAGTCACACAGAATTAAGGAGAAAAGGGAGAAGGGGAATAATCCAATTGCTGCCTTGAGGCCTTGATATCAATAAAAGTGTCAGGTAGGAGAAATGTCCGGCAAGCAGAGCATTAATATAAATTAAAGATTGGAATGTGATTAAAATGTAAAGTAGGCAGTGGAGACAGAGAGAGTTAGTAGTTACCTGCGTAGATCTCAGGTGCGTACATGGCTCCCATCATAGGACTCAATTCCACCCCGCTGACATTCACAAAAAGAGAGAGCATCGTTAAAATGGGCAGTTTGGGAAGAAGAGCACAGTATTTATCATTTACACACACTTTTCTCTACACCTACAATGCAGTTTTTATTGGCCCTATTTCAATGGTTTTCATAGTTCACCAGCTACTTAAAAAGCCAGTTTAATCACGGCGACAGAAGAGGAGATACGGGATGAGCGCCTCAGAGCAGCGATGCTTTAAAATATGGATTTTGATTGAGGCTGAGCGCCTTTCTTCATTACAGATTCCCTCAGCCACACTAACTCTGAAGCTCTTCCAGGTGAAGCAGCACAGATGGTATGCAAAGCAGGGAGGCACGGATTTGCTAAGATGATATTTGAACCCCTCTTTTTAGCATTTCTAAGCAACATTTAATTAAGATTTGACATTGTATTAGAAGTGAAACTAGCTTAATAAAACTGTATATATTAATACTAACGATAGCTGTGGGCAACTACATTATAGTGTGTTATACACAAGCTAAATAGGGGGACTGATTCTGACCATTTTGAATACAATAGATGTCAGTGAAGTCACTATCACTGAATGAAGAAGAACAATGGTCAATTAGTGAATAACACATTGCAATATAATACAGGTTGCCCATATCCAACTTCTAAGCAAGATAATCGATAAACAATAAAACAATAGTTTGTTAATATCTTTCCAAATCGAACTGCAGTGCTGCACGGAAACTCTTAAGACTAGATCTGACAGTAAATCATCATAGTATCGTATTGGAAATGAACATTTGAAGCAATAGATGGATAATCTGAGAGTGAACTGTCGTCATGGCTGGTAGGTGGTGTTAAAAATAATCAAATCTAAAATAAACTCCTTGATATTGTGTTTGCTGACGGCCTTACATAATGTGGTCTGCAACTGCGGGAGGAAACACTGATCGTGTGTTTTTCATCTGCCTCTCGCTGTGAGCCTGATGCCGTTTGGATTACTAGTGTGTGTGTGTGTGTGTGTGTGTGTGTGTGTGTGTGTGGCCTAGCATTACTATACTTGTGGGGACCTACATCTGTTTTACACGTCACGTGTGGGGACTAGCCCTCCCTTATGGGGACAAATTGGAGGTTCCCATAAGGGGAATCATTAATTTTAGGGTGAAGACTTGGTTAGGGTTAGGCATGTGTTGGTTAAGGTTAGGATAAGTCTCCAGGAAAGCATGTAAGTCAATGTAATGTCCCCTGAAGTGATGTATACATGCATGGTGTGTGTGTGTGCGTGCGTGCGTTGGTGTGTTGTGGTGTGTGTGCATGCGTGCGTGCATTACCGTTACCGTAGGGCAGCGCGCTGAGGGCCGCCTCTCCGTTAGGAAAACGGGCTGACCATTTTTCTTGTCTGGTCATACACCCGGGCTGTGGCATTGTTCACCTGAAGGAGGAGCGACGGTATAAACACCAGAAAACGCAAACAAATAACAACTAAATAACGCAAAGGGCTAGATCACCAGGCTGATGTGTGTGGGTGGGTTTTTTAAAAGTAATAATATATTAACCGTGTTTGCCAACATGTGCTCGTAGTGTGATTGTCTTTATTTTGTATATTTCTTGGTACACTCACGTATTTATTGTTGTTATTATACAATACTTGTATAAACATTTTAATATTTTATCTGTTATTTCACATTTTAATTGTATGTTTATGTTAATATTATTATATTTTATTGCACTTTTTACTTGAACTTCTTATGTTTAAATAAATATTATTATCATATTTTTTGTTTATTCCACATTTTACTGAACATTTTTACTTTGCTCTTATTTTTTTAAATATATAGTTAATGTATTTGATTTGATCATTTATAGTAGTTACATTTTAATTTCTTATGTTTTAATTTATATATTATTTTGGTCCATTTTATTATTTTATTCTATATTATTGCACATTTCATTTTTTTGTTTTAAATACATTTTAGTTTTTTTATTTTGTTCTAAAAAAACTCTCACAAAACCCTAATTTCCCCCATCAGTTGTGTGATATGCCTGTTCCTATATAAACCTATAAAGCAGAATATGACATTTAAAAAAAAGACACATGTAACATCTAAGATGGCTGCTAGCTCGTTTGTTTGTCTGTGTTTGTGTGTTAAAGTGGGTCGGGGGTTAGGCTGTTAGGGGGGATTTCAGTCCTCATCGCAATTAAGAAGCGAGTTGCCCATCAGAGATTTGATGATTCATTGTGGGCAGATATTAATGTGGCCATGGGGGACTTTGGTTATATTGCGGCCGTAAATTGCAGCAAAAGAAACGCCGCTTGTACTTTTATTATTTTGCATGCTCAGGTGTTTTATCCTTTTTTTAGGTGCGTGTGCGTCTTCTACGCCTGACATTTCAGTCCTAATGCTCGGGCTTTCAATCCAAGATGGCTGATAATCTCCTCTCTGAGCTTCAAAGGCTCCCTTGATCTTCCTTTGATGGGTTTTAAGAGAAGGAGATTGTAGCTCTGTGTAAAAAGCCATACTGTCGCGGTGTTCAACGCTCTACATCTGAGTGTGGCGAGAGATTAATGACCTTTTTGGGTCGATGAGGGGAGTGTGTGTGAGAGAAAGAAGGACTGAGGAATGAGAGTGCTGTCTGCACACATACTACACACACACACACACACACACACACACACACACACACTCACACTCACTCCCATTAAGGAGACCATTAGGCATCGACTGCAATTCGCACCGGTTCCCTCGTGAGTCATGTTCTTTAATCTGCAGAGCTCCATTCACATAGAAATGAGGTTTACCTCATTTTTCCCTCATTGCAAATGACAAGGTCAATGGCAAATCATTCAATTAGCTTAAGCATGGTTAGCCATCTGACACGACTGTCCGCGGGTGTCTGAGTGGAGACATTTGGAAATGGAAATGTGTGTAATTAATCAAATCAAGGATTTTTGTGTCAATGGGAAATGATGTCAGGACTCATTCAAAGTTTTCTATTGACTGGTAACTTTAAGGAGTTTAGCCAGAGAGGATTTCCGACAAAATAAGCACATTAGTAGCAGCACCATTTGGTACAAAATGGTAAACACTTCCTGTGTACTAATGTATGTTGTTTATTTTGCTAGCCTTAGCATATTAACACAGCTAACAACATGTTAGCAATAGGAAAAACTAGTTACCTAGGGTTTTCACTAACGTTAGCTTGAAATGATGACAGTTTTATGTTACATATATTATTTAGCTAGATTTTACATATTTAAACAGCTAATGAACCTATTTTAGCATTGGGAAAATTAGGTTAGCTTGAGTTGTTTTCGGAGGTTAGCTGACGTTAGCTTGAATAGTTTCCAGTTTTAAGTTAATGTCATATTTTATTTGAGCTAGCATTAAATATTACACAGCTAACGAACATTGGTCAGCTAGGATGTTGGAGAATGTAGGTTTGATTTGTGTTGCCCAGATATTGTAAGAGTGTTTGTGAAAGAATAAATAAGACAAATTTGATCAATAACAAAGTAGTTTTCTTCTGATTTGACGGTCTGAGAAAATGCCAATTTTAGTGTGTCAGTATTTTCGGAGGATTTGTGGGCTTTTTGATAAATGTGTGTACCTCTGTTTGTGTTATTTGCAATTAATGAAATACGGTCGACAGGATCACATGCAAATCAACAGAATATGGAAGGCAGACTCAAAGTGTTAATAATTAATAAAACATTCAGCCGTCTCTCATCCCATTTAACCCTCCCAAGTCCAGCCTGAATCATAAACCGGGACAAAATGAAGTCACATTCCATATGAAACCAAACTTGTGGGGGTTTACATACCTAAAAAGAAATATTCCAAAAATAAAAAATACAACTAAGGGAGAGAAGAGGGGGTTTGCAAAAAACATTTTTTTGGACAAAATAATAATCGTATAACACAGAAATTACACGCAGCCAAATATGGGCGCAACACATGACCAAGAGTGGAGTAACAAAACCAAAAAAAGTAAAAATTCAGCCAATCAGGCAAGCGTCGGATGCAGCATAGAGACCAATCAAAACGATCGCAGCACTCCCACATCGAACACATACGAGACAAAGATGGGACAGGTAAGTTAAGAGGAAGGGATGCAGGTGAGAAGTAAAGAGACAGAGCCAGTCCATATACAAAGAAAACCAGGAGACATTAAGATGGAGTGAAGAGAAAAAAGGGAGAAAAATGTACATGAGCAACACAAAAAAATAACAATTACTGTTTAAAAAAAAAATAACATGTATCCCAAGGTGCATCATTCAAATAAAGCAATTAGATTTGGTGACCATTCTCCTGAAATCTCATTGTATGTGGTGGGTTGAGAAACAGAGCACCAAAGGATGGAGGGAACAGAGAAGAGTGAGAGATAAGAGAGAGAGAGAGAGAGAAAGAGTGAGAGCAATCCTCATTCCCAAAAAAGGAGAGAAATCAAATAAACATGAGACACTTTGCCAGGCATTATAACTGTGTGTCACAAACTAAAGACCAGAACACTACGACTACCACTACGACTACTAGTACACAGACAATCCACTACAAGAAAAACCAAACCAAAAAGAGAAAAAACAAACAAAATGGCAGCATAATAAGAGACCCCAACACAGTACGGTAAACCCATATCGGTTTAGAAATGCATATGGTTACACAACACTGGCAACACTGATTTGACCACATTTGGAGCGGCATAGTTTATTTTTTTAAAGCTGTAAATTAACTCAAAAATTCGAATTTACGAGATAATTTTTGGTGTTTTTTATCCTACTAAATGTACCCCTTTAATCTCAGAGAATATCCACATTTCTTTCTTGTCAATGTATGATATTTACTTGGAGCAGAATGTACAATTAATTTGCAAAGATACTGCTAAATAAGAGTAGGACTTGTATTTTAAAAGTCTTTGTCTAATGGTGTATTAAAGCCATTATTTGTTAGTTTTTAAGACCCTGGGACGAAGATAGTTTAGTGAAAAACATCTGAAATGTACAAGAAAAAAAGGGATATTCTCATATTTTTTTTGTACATTTACCACTTCAAGTGTATCCATGATTTTTCTCACTTAAATGTCCAATATTTATCTGAAAGATTCTTAAATTAGGCTACCTAATATTGCCCTAATCAACCGCCTCCAAGTCAAAACGGGATATTCTGTATCTGCAATACGGTTATCCCGGATGCTAGCTAGCTACATGTCGTACATTAGCAACATTAGCTCAAAGCTTCATACTTAAACCTTTGATATCTTTTCTTTTTGCCCATTGGCTAGTATTGGCCAACATATACACTAAGCTTAAAGCAGGCAGGTCAATAAAATAATACAAATTCAAAACCAGAGCAGCGTTATTTGCCCTGCAGCTCAGGCGCCTGCATTCACTCAAAGCAAATCGTAGGGAGCAACAAGGAGCAAAAGCTTCATTTCAATTTCTGTTGATTGTTTTTTTTTTGGTTATTGTTATTAATCAAGAAAATGAAGACTAGGTACACATTGGAGTCCAGATGGAGAATTAATCAGATGGATTGTGGATAGCCGTGTCATTGCATAGAGGAGGGTGATTACATTCGGTCATTCCCAGTGAGGTGTTAATGACATGGTGTGAGGGAGGGAGGGCATGTGGAGATAATATTACCGCTAAAATAATCGTTGAAAGACGCTGTGTCTGTTTGTGTGTCTGTGGTGCTGTGTGTACTCGTAAAATAACATAAACAATAATATCTATCTGTCAGCAGATCACTATACTGACTAATATTGCAAATACTGTACAAACTACTTTATTAAATGCCCATTTTTGTTCAGGGGTAGGGTGGGAAAAGGGAGGGGAGGGGTCAGTTCAGTGATAGATGTTTGTACACAACTTACCGTTGCCGTAGAAAACAGCGAGTGGTTACCGTGGAGACTGACAAACAACACACAGAAGTCGTCAGGGAAACAGAAAAAATATAATAAATAAAGGAACAAATAATCCTATAGGAACAAAAGAAACCTAAACGATATCTCCCCCCCCCCTTCCCAACTGCTTTTTCTCATCATGAAATAAAAACCCTGGTAGCAGCAGTGTTACAGCTCAGAATGGAGGATAAGAGGAAGAAGAGGAAGAGGAGGAAGAAAGAGGAAGGAAAAGGAGAGAGAGGATGCTAGCTCTCGATGACTAACCGAGCTCAGAGCATCATTAAAAACGATCAGAGCAGTGACAGGAAGTTATTCGGTGCTCGAGAGACGGAAAAGGAGAATGGAAATGTGGGGCAACCTCATCTTTAAATCAAATCTAGCCTAGAGAATGCACTGAGAAGCAGCGAATTGGAACACTTCCAAGAAAAGTGAGAAGAAACAAATTCACAACCCAACACCCTATTAACAGCAGTATTTTGCTAAAAAGGGGCCCCGTTATGCTAATTTCCAGGTTCATATATATATATAGCCGCTTTCACATCAAGTACTTTGCCGTACTTAGTTCCCAGCACTTAGTTCCCCCATAGAACTAAGAGCCGATCGCGTTCCCCTGAGGGAAGATTACGCAAATGAAGCTGCTGACGTCACTTCTTCTTCTTCTTCTGCTTTGGGTTTACTGGCAGGCCGCAAACAACTTCACGGCGTATACTGCCACCTGGAGTCCCCGGAGTTGGGGACTGGCTTCAGTAGAAACTGCTGGGACTCCCAGCAGCTTCTCCTGAAGCCTTCCGAGTAAATCGCCAGAATGCCGACACCTCCTCATCTCCACCGCTCCTATGTTTTCTTTTGTGTTGCCATAAGTTATTCTCTTTCCGTTGGTGCGCGGGGCTAATGCTTATGCTAATAATGCTAATGCCAGCAAATACAATGGCGGCCTAAAAAAGCTTTTCAGAGTTTTGCGGGGCGTGGTTTGCAATTCGCCCAGCCAATCAGAAATTGGTACTTTTTTCTCCCCAGGATAGTACCACCTCTCTAGCAGGCACTAAAAATGGGGGTAAAAGTTCTCAAGTTCTCGGAACTAAACGGGAAAAGTACTCCGGTGTGAAAGCGCCTTATATGTTGTGCCTCTCCTCTACTGGGACATGTCTCCATGCTTTAATGTTCAAAAAGCTCTTTACTTGTCTCATACTGCCTGTGCTGCAGCACCTCTTTTCCCCCTCTGTCTGAAACCAGAGCCCAGTCTGCTCTGATTGGTTAGTTGGCCAGCTCTGTTGTGATTGGTCAACCGCTTTGAGAGGTCCCACCCCTTAGCCAATCACATACAATGTGTTGGAGCGCTAGCCAATAGGAGCATGGCGTGTGTGGGAGAGAAACTTCCTCTGGAGGGAATTTAGAGATTATAGCCTTTGCAGACCATTTACATGCACACAAATCTACATAACTACAGGAAAGGAAAAACCCCAAAAAGCATAAAAGGGCCTCTTTAAACTTGGGCAATAAATGACTAATTCTTGTGTGGCTATGTTAGGCCAGAAGAGCCATGTTCAATAAAGTACATTTAATTATCTGTTGTGAACTGAGTGGCCGATTTTTCCTTAAAGTGTTTAGCAGTCACCACAAAATAACATACTGAAAGTTGTTTGATAGTCAAACAATAAAGTAAGACGTCAAATCAAAAACAAAACACATGACGATAAATGGAAACAGAATAAGGCAGGTAGAGATGATGGCAAAAAAGAAGTACTTTCAAATTAAACACGAAAGGACAGAAAGACAAACTTGACTGGCAACAAGAGATGAAGAGAAAGACAGACAACACAGAGAGGGTTGGAAAGGGCAAAGTGCAAACTCTCTTTCCCCTTTTCGTTCAACCGTTTCTACATTTCCACTCGAAGCAAACACACATGGATACGCGCACATTTCATTCATGAATCGATCCAAATCATGCAGTAAAAAGAAAGCTTCGATAACAAAAACAGAACCAGTCCAATCCAAAGCCAAGGGAAGAAGAAGAATAGGAGGAGGGGGGTTTTATGACATCGGGACACACGGAAGCTGGTAAGCCTTCAATTTAGGCTATCACCCATCCAACAACTCACAAACAGCTGAACAAAATCTCCCAAAAAGTGTATGGAAATGGTTGATTTAGGACCCAAAGTGAGCTGAGGCCAACAGTGTACCATTCAGGAGTGTGAGATGGTTGGTAAAACATGCAGAAACCCAGGCAAAAACATCTTCGTATCTTCTTCATCGCACAAATCCATGCACTGGTGACGCACTTTATTCCCCCCTTTGCATGCAGAGCACTTGTATTCTGCTTTTAAATAAGTCTGACTAAAACTCTGCGCTCGGAGGAACAGTCACTTCCTGTCACACTCGAGCCACACAACCTTAAGAGTTTGTGAGCAGGAGTCTTTAGGGTTCAGCATGGTCTCTTTGCCCGACAAAGCTCCTTATCCATTGAGGACGTATTCGAGGTCTTTGACGTGTAGTAATTGCTTGGCTTTTGTCCATGCCGTGGCAATACTACACTGAATTTTGCAATAATCTACAGCAAGCAGAGCAGAAAGCTCTCCGGAAGGTCGATGCAAAACGAGGTAGACCTTTTGTGCAGCGCTGGTTGTTTGGTGCCGATTAATAATAAAAAAGACCAGGGTTTACGGCTTTATTATGTCTTGCATCCCCAGAGACAATGGAACTATTATTGCTGTAGGTAATTACTTCTGCCAAGGAGGTTATATTTTCTGGAAATGACTAGGAAAAAGGTGAGTTTGATTTTCCTGAAACTTGGTGGAAGGGTGAAGCATGGGCTGAGGAAGAACCCATTCAAATTTGGAGCTGATCCCAATAACAAAAAATGACGTTTCACATTTGTAAGGGAAACTTCTGCAGCAATGGAGAGTCAGGACTCAGAGAGGCACGAGGAGAGTTGGAGCTTTGATGTCAAACACTGATATTTATTACAAGTATACGGCCGGAGAAATTCACATCACAAGTCACAGAGCAGCCAGAGGTTCTGACTGCCCGGGTGGGTTGCCACATCAATTCTGCCGCGCCTCTCTCTCGATAGACCTTTTAACTAGTTCAGAGAGAGTAAACAACATATTTGAGGAGATAGACTAAACAGCTGGACACCCTGAATCACTTGCGTCTGACCCTTAATGGCCTCGAAGCCAGTGTTCCCACAGCCGTAAACCATTTCGTGACCGAGAGTTGAACTGGTTTATCAAGATAGCTGGAGCCTCCCATTCCTTAAGAGAGATAACAGAGCCAGGGTTGGTCGTAAACGTCAACACACAGAAAAGGTTAAATATCTAGGATAAAGACAGAAATATTCTTTGACAACTTTCATTAACATTGGGAGGAAGCAGCAATAAGGTGTCCGAATAATCGTAAAAATGTGTTCTAGACTTGGACAAGCGAACGCCCACTAAAGTTGGAAAAACATATTAAAACCTATCAGCGCATTGTTCAAACACACCACGTTTTTTCTTTGTAGTGTCCAAGTTGTTTGCACATTATGATTTAAAACTCTCGAACAAACCGAAGTCGTGAGAACAGCTTCCAAACTCTGGGAAATTGGACCATCTGTGGAGCATCTGGACGCACCATTCTAGTTGCATTTATTACAGTAAATCGAGAACATTTAGACCTTTCCATTGTCATTTATGGAGAAACGACAACACAATGTTAGTTAATTAGACCACCAGCTGATAAGAGTTGTGGGGAATTTTCAATGGGATGCAATTGTCAGCAAAAAGTCCAATTGGCGCAACCATTGACTGCTTTGTTTTTTTACTAATTGAGGTCTGTGGTTGCACTAATGAGACCATGCAAGAACCCGTAATGCACTTCCTCTACAGCCAGTATCTGTAGCATAGGAATGAAGCTATGTATCTTTAGCTGGGATGTCCTAATAGTCAAAGTAACACAAGTCAATGACAGCCAAAATGTGAGGAGATGTAATGAGTGAGAGCAACTTCACCATTTGAATGTTAGAGCATACGCACAATCATATGAGTGGGTGGAGATGCCTTTATATATAGACCTGTAGGGGTGTATATATAGAATGAATGGTGATGAGATGGGGTAGAGAAGCAGGTAGAGACAAAGTGTAGTTGAGCCACTTACATGGATACATTGGAAGCACACAGGAAACCTGACTTCTTCAAAGCGCAGAGTTTTAATCCAGACAAAGAGAAGGACATTATGCACAAAAATTCCCTTTCTATATTTCATGACATGCAGGCTGCTGAGCTGTGAGAATAACTACTAACCGACTCCCATTGGCATGCACAAAGAATGAGAAGTGTCAGCACTCGAGTTGAGTTTCCTTTTTATAAATCATTCCCCATACAACTCTCTCTAAAAGCTAGGTCTCAGCTTTTTTTCAGTGAAGACTAGAAGGCACCCAGGTGCAACTGAATTCATGCCAACTGAACAAATCCCATCACCAATTTAACAAATGGACACACGGATAAACATGCAAGAAAATACATCCAGCTGTGTCACATATCTCCATGATAAAATACCAACCATGCAGCCTACGTCGACTAATCCATGCCAGTGAACTTCACAGTCACACACAATAACCATTATATACAGTACGCTTTCATTTCAGAGTTTTCTGAATGATTATAGCTCTCATAATTCAACATAACTCTGAAATGAAACGAGCGATTCAAGCGAGAGTTACAACATCTGCCAGAAAGCAGAACCGCCACATGGCATTGCCTCAAATAGAAATGTTTTTTCTCCTCTGTTGAAAGAATGTATAAACACTGATCCAGCGCCAGCCTTTTGTCTCCTCAAGCCCATGCACCATAAACAGACAGAAAGAGACTCTGCCTCCATGCTACACCGCTAGTGGAGGAACAACATGCAACGTGACGCCTGAAAACAAAGACAAACTGCTTTTTGATTAATCCCAGTGACTGATATATCATGCAAAACGTGTGGAGGGAAACAGAGAGTAATGCCAGGGAGGATATATGTTGTGTGTGAGACTGATGCAGTGTGAATCAACTCCATCAGTATCCATCAAGCTTGCTGATTGGCTGAGGGCGGAGGGAGATGTTGAACCAGAGGATGCAGGTGGCTGTATTTCATTCACGACCACAGTAAAAAAAAAAGCTTCATCCGTAATGCGCGCACACACACACACACACACACACACACACACACACACACACACACACACACACACACACACACACACACACACACACACACACACACACACACACACACACACACACACACACACACACACACACACACACACACACACACAACACACACACACACACACACACACACACACACACACACACACACACACACACACACACACACACACACACACACACACACACACACACACACACAACGTTGAAATCACCACAGTAAGCCCATGCAAAAATCCTGGCTTATAGCGACGTTGGTCACAGATCCAAAACTGGCTGATTGACACCCCCAAAAAACTCACATGCTTCAGTAAACAAACAATGTTTAGGAAACCTTAACATACATGGATTCTACATACGGAAAAAATCTGCTTGGTGCGTTCACACCGGACGCTAAACGGAGATTGGCGGCTTTCAGTTGTGTTTACTCGTGTCACTCAAACAAAATGCGCTGGCGTGGAGGCGGGGCTTATCTACATGTAGATCTCATCAATCATCGTATTGTCCCATCATCGTATTGTCATACTGATATTTTGTACAAACTGTAAAGTCCACTGAGACAAATGTAACATTTGTGATATTGGGCTATATAAATAAACATTGATTGATTGATTGATCAACAACAGTACCTACCTAAGGACTGCAGATGGAAATGAGCCATTAGCTATAATCTGGCATAATTCCTCTCTTCTGTTTTTTGAGATTAATGTATTTGTATGCATGGTCCTTGTTGAAATAAATACATAATATTACAACAAAATGAACATAATTTGAATCGATTTAATTGTAATAATAGTATCAAAAAGATAGGCGAAAAACTCGGATTGGTTCGATCAGGCTAGGCTAAGCTAACATGTGGCTACTCCGTACAGACTCAAAATAGAAGCGACTGTATTCGACCATAGACAGTCTGTGGTTTGTAGATTTATAAACACAGATACACGACTGCTGTTTTATTTTTCTGATTCAACAACGTCAGCGACAGCAGGGAGAGATTCTCTCCACTAATTGGCTTTATTTCATTTGAATGAAGCTGAATGATGAACAAATGATTGCTTCGTTAGCGCTGCCCGGAAGGAATTTGCATCTCTATCCGCGTCCCTGCATTGACTTGACATGTAATCGCGACGCTCAAAACCTTCGCTTCGTGTCCGATGTGAACGCACCTAAAGAATCCAGACTTGTGAACATGCGCCGTGATTCCCAGCATGCGGCTGTTGCAGAGCCAGAAGCTTGTCACAACCACTTAGCACCGTGGGGAGAGAGGGGAACACAGAAGGGTTTCTACTCTAAGGAAAAGGGGTGAAATAAAGACGGCAATCTGCCATGCATCATCCTTCCACTGCGTTCCTCTCCGAGCCCTCCGGTGCCCACATGTCATTCACATGTTGCGATAACAAAACATCAGTGTGGCTACGAGTCGAGTGAGAGGGGAGGAAAAGCTGCAGAGGAAAAGTACCCAGCATGCCTTATGTAGTGTTCTTGCACCCCCACCACAAAAACAAAAAGGAAACAAAGTCTTTTAATTAAAAAAAGAATGGGTCCAGGGAGTGGGAAACCAGTGGGCCGCATCAGAGCATGTCACTACAGGGAGGATGAGAGCTAGATAGCAGTCAGTGATCAAGCAGAATTACGAGAAGATAGAAGAGAGGAAGGAGGAGGAGGAGGAGGAGGAGGAGGGAGGAAAATTACCTCAATCTTACGACCTTCCACCAACGTGCCGTGGAGCTTTTCCCGGGCTCTCTCTGCGTCCACGCCGGTCTCAAACGTCACGAAGCCGAAACCCTGCGGCACATAACAGATCGTGTTGGTGGTGAGGAACTACATCTAGTCACGTAAGATCAATTGTTTTGGCACGTAGGTTCAACACCGGCCTCAAACGCGTCGTATCTTTTAAGATTCTGAATAGTCATCAAAAAACGATATTAAAGAACGTTTTGATTTATACAAAAGAAGCTAAACATTACATTTGATGGACAATTATCCGACACACCAAAGTGGAAGTTGTGTTAAACATGAAGTGGTTTTGTTGCAGAAAATCACAATAAACACCAGTTATTATTTATTTATTTATTGTTTATTATCAGTTACACTGTGTTATTGTTAATTAACACAACAATATTCCTATAAAATGGCAAAAAACACTAAAATACTCTCAAAAAAGAGCTGTGTTTTTGTGTAAAAGTATTACTAAGTGTGAAATACATGTACAGCTAACACCGAGTCAGAACTGTTGAGTAGTTTCAGGGAATAAAACATCATCAGTGTGGCACTTACCTTTGAGCCCCTCTCATTGAAAATAATCTCTACATCCAGAATCTTCCCGTATTGCTGCAAACACACCAAAAGGGAAGACGTTAGCAAACAAGTACAAGCAGAGAAAACAGTCAATAACATCTTTGAGTTGTGTAAGATATCTTGTGACAGTGTGTGAGTTACAACACAAGGTGTCACTGTTACACAACTGCACACATTTCAATGAGTTTCCTTCCATGTCTTTGCATTGAAACACAGACATTTACCCCTACATGTAGCAAGAAGACATGCTCTGTTACTCGAGTGAAATGTACTTAAATAGAAAATATGAATATTCCCATCAGCATGTCTTAAAAGTGATGCGTTTTGGTGGCAGTGGCTCAGTCAGTAGGGGCTTGGACTGGGAGCCGTAGGGTCGCCGGTTCAAGTCCCCGACCAGACCTAAAATATGGAGTGTGGACTGCTACTTGGAGAGGCCCCAGTTTACCTCCTGCCCTGCCGTGGTGCCCTTGAGCAAGGCACCGGACACCCCCCATTGCTCCCCGGGCGCTGTACAATAGCTGCCCACTGCTCCTAGTACTAGACTCCTGGTACTAGGATGGGTTAGAAGCAGAGAACACATTTCACTGTGTGCTGTGTGCTCTGCATGTGAAACCATTAAAGAGGGGTTTCATCCCTCCAAATTCTCTCTCTCTATTCTCTTGAATGCAGTTTATAACATTCGCAATCTCATAAAACAAAGAAATGCAACAAATGATCCCAAGATTGGTGATAAGTGAACGAATAAACGTAATAAAACATGAACAATTAGTTGATTATCCGAGACTTTACGTCTATTTTCTACCAGAAAACTGCACATAACTCGACTGATATTGTCCCACTCATGCTAACACAAATGCTAACACACATAGCAGGCAGTTGTCCCCTTAAAGCAGCAACAAAACACCCATGAGGGTCTCTCCTTTGTGGTAGTTTGATTATATCGTCTGTCATTAAACCCCCTCGTGAGCAGGTGGTGGTCCCGCGGGGCGTCTAGACTGATTTATTGTCGCTATAAAAAAACAAAACAACATTCTCCACTTTCTTACCCCAAACATCTGCCTGAGGTCGGGGTCCCGGAAGCGGAAAGGGATGTTTGAGACGTGGAGGCGTTTGGGGGTCCCTTTGGCCTCCGAGGGGTCTCCCACGGATCCGCCTGAATCTCCTGATCCACACAGCACCCCCGCCTCACCCTGAGACACCTCCTCCGTCTTACCCTGTAGGGGGGAGAGAGGGAGAGCACATTTTAATGTATTAAACACATTTATTATCAGCCTTATCCTGCATAATAATACATAATTAATCTCTTTTTCTATTTTTCTGGTGGGTTTTTTCTTGTTTTTTTCAATAAATATTCTAGTTCATGTTCAAAAAGTATATTATTTATTGTCTTGTAAAGAAAACATGTTATTCTTGCTTTTGTTTAAAATGCTATTGTATAGATGTCGTAGTTGTACAAAGCTTTGGCGATACTGTATGTCATTACGGTTTTGCCAATAAAGCTATTTGAATGTAATTGAATTGAGTGCAGCTTGTGAGTCAAAGCTATTGTATACCTTCTTTTTAATGTAACCCTAATGGAAATGATGCAGAATGTACGAGTACACAATGCATTAAAGCTATTAGCGTACAGTCTTGATATCATCATGTAATAAAATTATCATTTCCACTGCATCTTAAAGGAAATGTGATTATGGAGCCAGCTCCGTGAGCCTGTACTTCGCTGCAGTATTTACAGCTGTGTCACCATGCTAACATGCTAACAAAGACAATGCTAACATGCTTTTGATTAGCAAGTAGCATGTTTATCAAATGTGACCTGCTCCATCGAAATCAGTCGCATTGACCCGAAGACACACTTTGAGTTGTATTCACTGTTGGAAAGAGGAGCTTCCTAGCTTTCTAATGATATCAGGATTGTTGTTGTACTCCAAATATTAAGCTAAATATATCACATTATATACTGACTGTCACCGAGTCATCGTTTTGAGAAAAAGGCCTTCAAAGTTTTCTCTTCTCTGGAATCCATCGATCTGATTGGTTATTAGCAAATGATCAAAGTACTACGGAGGGACGATATTTTGGTTTGGATTACTGGTCTGGGGGAAGCTTGTGTGTGTGTGTGTGTGTGTGTGTGTGTGTGTGTGTGTGTGTGTGTGTGTGTGTGTGTGTGTGTGTGTGTTTGTGTATTTTTGCATTTGTGTGTATTGTGTTTGTTTCCCGGGGAAAACCCTCACGAGAAACACCGGCTGTTGTTACGCCTGCTGTGACGTCAAGTTACTCCGTTCTCCGCTTGTAATTATGCCGAAGCTTCAAAGTTGTATTTATCTTCTGAATTTGCCGAAACAAGTTTAATATTCTGAAATCCAAGACTTTGTTGAATTGAAATCAGATGAAAACAAACTGTAACGGACCCTGCAGTGTTATCTATGATTACTCTACGCTTACATTGATAATGTCAGCGGAGGGAGGGGGGCGGCGCTGCGGAACAGCAGAGTGCGAGGGAGAGCTGTCTTCTTCCCTTTACAAGCTTCAAACATGTATTTATCGTTTGATTTTGGAAATAAAAGTTTCATATTCTGAAAGCCAAGACTTTGTTTATTTCAAATCAAACACCCGACCTATGTGGCCCAAAATCACACGTTGCAAATTTGTATTGGAGACGTTACAGTTTTTCTGAAGATCAACAAAACATAAATGACACATAACAAACATTTACAACAAAACAATGTTTACAATCTTAGTTTGACTTATTAGCATGCTAACAATTAAAGCAATTAAAAGTGGTAACGTGAGTTTGCCTCCGTAGAGCAAATAGCTCTCGTAAGCCAGGATTTATTTAATCAGTAAAGCACTAAAACTGCAATATTACTGAACACAAATATTACTTTATTTCACACAAAAATAAAAACACAATGTCCCATGAAGGCTTTTCTTTTTGCCGCTGCTTTTAATTGAACTATTCACATCTCACACTGCTCTGTAACTTTTATTCATGTACTGTGTTATTCATGTTTTATTATCTTTGCTTTTTATGTTTCTTAATGTCTTTCATTTTTGTAAAGCACTTTGAATTGCCTTGTGTTGAGATGAAAATCAGGAGCCCCTCACCACGCCCCTCTGAGAGAGATCTGGTTACAAAGAACTCAATGGTGCTCTAGGAGGAGATTCAGGTGATAAGGGGGGGGGGGGGGGTTTACCTTGGTTGCTGATTGGCTAATGGTTACACAAGACAACACATCATTATGACATCATCAAGTGGCCAAAATCTGATCAGCTCATTTTCAGACAGGTTTTTATAGAAATGGATCAGAACAAAAAGAGAGAGAATCTTTGTTCCTGAAACTTTCAGAGTCTCTTTCCACAGAGGGGACACATGTTGATGTAGAAGAGACATGAAGAAGAGGGGACACATGTTGATGTAGAAGAGACATGAAGAAGAGGGGACACATGTTGATGTAGAAGAGACATGAAGAAGAGGGGACACATGTTGATGTAGAAGATACGTGAAGAAGATGGGACACATGTTGATGAAGAAGAGACATGAAGAAGAGGGGACACATGTTGATGTAGAAGAGACATGAAGAAGAGGGGAAACATGTTGATGAAGAAGATACGTGAAGAAGATGGGACACATGTTGATGAAGAAGAGACATGAAGAAGAGGGGACACATGTTGATGTAGAAGAGACATGAAGAAGAGGGGACACATGTTGATGTAGAAGAGACATGAAGAAGAGGGGACACATGTTGATGTAGAAGAGACATGAAGAGAGGGGACACATGTTGATGTAGAAGAGACATGGAGAAGAGGGGACACATGTTGATGTAGAAGAGACATGAAGAAGAGGGGACACATGTTGATGTAGAAGAGACATGAAGAAGAGGGGACACATGTTGATGTAGAAGAGACATGGAGAAGAGGGGACACATGTTGATGTAGAAGAGACATGAAGAAGAGGGGACACATGTTGATGTAGAAGAGACGTGAAGAAGAGGGGACACATGTTGATGTAGAAGAGACATGAAGAAGAGGGGACACATGTTGATGTAGAAGAGACATGAAGAAGAGGGGACACATGTTGATGTAGAAGAGACATGAAGAAGAGGGGACACATGTTGATGTAGAAGAGACATGAAGAAGAGGGGACACATGTTGATGTAGAAGAGACATGAAGAAGAGGGGACACATGTTGATGTAGAAGAGACATGAAGAAGAGGGGACACATGTTGATGTAGAAGAGACATGAAGAAGAGGGGACACATGTTGATGTAGAAGAGACGTGAAGAAGAGGGGACACATGTTGATGTAGAAGAGACATGAAGAAGAGGGGACACATGTTGATGTAGAAAAGACATGAAGAAGAGGGGACACATGTTGATGCAGAAGA